ACAGTAGAATACACAAATCTTGTCAGTCGTATAGTTTGGATGGAGATAAATGTAAGAGTCAATATGGCTGCTCTAGCGAAGTAATCCCCGCCTTCATGTAAAAGAGCCAATCATCGATCCCCTAGGGGAGGGGCTCAGTCCAGGTGTGTGTTTTGATGACAGTTTCTGCAGCTTCATTGTTATGAACACTCTGTGCTCAGCTAACACACTGAAACCTCTGTGAATATTTGCCTCACAGACATGAAAATTCGATCAACATACAGTGTGAAATCTTTACTTTTAGAGAAGACAACTATAAGTGAAAACAAATGAGCTCTGGTTTGTTAATATGTTTAAAACATTGAAGTCAAAAATATTCGCCCCCCTGTTTATTTTTTTCCCCAATTTCTGTTTAACGAAGAGCAGATTTCTTCAGCACATTTCTAAATATAATAGTTTTAATAACTCATCTCTAATAACTGATTTATTTTATCTTTGCCATGATGACAGTAAATAATATTAGACTAGATATTCTTCAAGACACTTCTATACAGCTTAAAGTGACATTTAAAGGCTTCACTAGGTTAATTAGGGTAACTAGGCAGGTTAGGGTAATTAGGCAAGTTATTGTATAGCGATGGTTTGCTCTGTAGACTATTGGAAATATATAGTTAAAAGAGGCTAATAATATTGACATTAAAATGGTCATTTAAAAATTAAAAACTGCTTTTATTCTAGTCGAAATAAAACAAATAAGACTTTCTCCAGAAGATAAAATATTATCAGACATACTGTGAAAGTCTCCTTGCTCTGTTAAACTTAATTTGGGAAATATTTTAAAAAGAAAAAAAAATTCAAAGGGGGGCTAATAATTCTGATTTTAACTGTACATGAGGGGTACAGTCATTTCAGTCTGACCTCATTGTTTTAAATGTATTCCCAATTCTCAAAAGCAAACCACTTGAACACCCAGAAACTTGTAAACAAACTTGTAATTGTTGTTGTTTTGGGAGGAATAAATTAGAGATTACTTTAGAAAAGACCAACATTAATGGATGCGGCGTTATTCATAGTATGACATTGTGTCACATGGGCTCAGGACTACTTTGGCAAACCTTTGCATACTTTAAAACCATCCATATATCAACAAGTCAATGCAAAACCACAATCTGCAAACACAAAGTCCTGACTGTCGAGGTTACAGGTACTTGACTGGCCTGCCTGCAGTCCTGACCTGTCCCCAATAGAGAATGTCTGGCTTTTTTAAAGCGCAGAATGCAACAATCAAGACTGTTGCCCATATTAAAGCTAGATTTATACTTTTGGCACAGCATTGCGCACCTCCGCTGACTGCGCACGCACCTCGCGAAATCGACAAGGCTTGCTGTGTTAGCCGTTGTGATATACTTTAAAACGACAGGGGGCAGTAAAAGGCTGTGAATCAGACGGATAAACAGAAACGTAGGACATTTCCGGAACTACGTCATATCATTAATATCATTCAAGATTTTTAAATTAATAATTTGTATTGTTTTTATAAATTATTTGAATGATTATAAGGATTTTAAAACCGTTCAAGATTTTTTTAAATCAAACTTTGATGCTTTGACAGTTTACTTATTAAATTTATTAAAATAATAATGACAAGAGAACACAGGTTGTGGACCCATAAGGATGTCTGTACCTGCTTCAGACAAAATCTCCTCAAACTGATTCATATTAAACTCAAAGCAAATGTGGCACCACGTGCAATGTTTACTCGAGTCTCAAAAAATACACGCGCACCGCCAGCAGAAATCAGGCCACGTGCACCCAAAGTAAACATCAGCAAACTCCGCGATGACGTCACATTCGCTGCACTCACTTAAGCGAACTAGCGGACCCGTCGAGTATAAACCAGGCTTAAGACTTGTTTGCAGGAAGAATGGGACAAAACTACACCTTCCAACTTTTTTTTTTAAATGTGTTCAAAGAACTAAAATTGGTATACATGTTTATTTAAAAAACTGTTAAAATGAGGAGGAACACACTAAATAATGTTTGTTGTATAGTCTCCAATGAAATACAAGTCAAAGTAAATTTAAAAATCCCAAACTAATTTTTCCATTCACATTTTCCATACTGTCCCAGCTTTTTCCTATTTGGGGTTGTAGTATGATTTGCTCATCCCCAACAGTGCTAGGCCTGGTCTTTTCCTCCTTTTAAAAAGTGTGTATTTGTATAAATTAGCCACTTTTCTAACAATATGTAAAATCGTTAAGTAATCAAATCATTTGTAAACAAATAATAAACACATTACTTACTACAGATAAGAGAACTTTAAAAGTCATCATTATATTTACATGATACTGAGTTTGAAAGAAATTGCAAGACTTTGAACTTAGCATGTTGCTAAGCTAACAACGCAATATACTAACAATAACACCTCATAAAAACTGCTAATAACAATGAATTAGCTAAAACTCGAAATCACAAAATCAGCAATGAATAGCACAGGCCATTATTACCAGTCTGACATTAGCATGTTGCTAAGCTAACAACGCAATATACTAATAATAACACCTCATAATAACTACTAAAACCAATAAATTAGCTAAAAATCAAAATCACAAAATCAGCAATGAATAGCACAGGCCATTATTACCAGTCTGACATTAGCATGTTGCTAAGCTAACAACGCAATATACTAATAATAACACCTCATAATAACTACTAAAACCAATTAATTAGCTAAAAATCGAAATCCCAAAATCAGCAATGAATAGCACAGGCCATTATTACCAGTCTGATATTAGCATGTTGCTAAGCTAACAACGCAATATACTAATAATAACACCTCATAATAACTACAAATAACAATAAATTAGCTAAAAATCAAAATCACAAAATCAGCAATGAATAGCACAGGCCATTATTACCAGTCTGACATTAGCATGTTGCTAAGCTAACAATGCAATATACTAATATTAACACCTCATAATAACTACTAATAACAATGAATTAGCTAAAAATCGAAATCACAGAATCAGCAATGAATAGCACAGGCCATTATTACCAGTCTGACATTAGCATGTTGCTAAGCTAGCAACGCAATATACTAATAATAACACCTCATAATAACTACTAAAACCAATGAATTAGCTAAAAATCGAAATCACAAAATCAGCAATGAATAGCACAGGCCATTATTACCAGTCTGACATTAGCATGTTGCTAAGCTTAGGCCTGTCGCAATAATCAATATTATTCCCATCACTGGGGAAAAAAAAAATGACAATAATATCATGACAATATTTTGTACGGCAAAAATAGATATCATGACAGGCCTAGCTAAGCAAAGTAAACAAAATGATCGAATTTAATTTCCCTATATCAACATAAAATCAAAAATACATGCGCATATAAAAGATTTAATGGGATAGTTCACGCAAAAATGGAAGTTCTGCCATCATTTAATGTTAAAACAATGCCAAAAAAAATTTTTTAAATCCATTCAAATCTCCCTATTTATACATGTGTTTGTATTTGACATTAGCTTATACGACGTCTCGGCAGCTAACAACAGCGAGTGAACAGCACTGGCTGAGGTGAGATGGGTTTAAGCAAGCTTGAGGCTCAGATAAGACCTGAATTTAAATGATCGATATTAGCTCTTACCCTGCAGTTGCTCAGCTCCTCTGCCTTCACGATTATTGTCCCACATTTCTTCCCTGGAATCCCCCTGTGTGCGACAAATCCAGAACATTCAGGTCAGAAGCGTGTCTGTCGGACAATGATGTTGTACAGAAGGGTCATTGTACTGTACAGTAGTAAACTGAGATGCAATCCTTCAAAAAGGAAATCGATTTAAAACAACAACCAATTTCCTTTATTAGATATTAGACAGCAATGATTATACAATACACTGGGGGAAGGGGGGGAATATATAGTGGTAATACTATAACTTCACTTGTACATCTTTAAACAAAACAAAACACATGACAACCTCAAAACAACCTGCAATTCTGAGTGTGCCTCACACAGGTGAGTGGGTTTGACAAACCACCTGTAGAAAACACACTCTTTCAGTTCGCTGACACTTTAATCAACACTTGCACCAGTTTTTGCACCAGACAATTTGTTACAATCACTACATATCTCTAAAAATCCTCTTGGTTAAGATACAATCTTGGTTTTCTATTTGAGAATCTAAAATCTGAGCCTTTTAGAATGCGTTTACAGTAGGAAGTTGACGAAATATCTTCATGGAACATCATATTTACTTAATTTTCTAATGACTTTTGCCATTAAATGAAAAAAAAAAGTTTGATCCATTCAAAAAATATATTTGTGCAGCATAAAAACACAGCTTTATTACTAGCTATATTATCATGGCACAAAACCAAAAGCAAAATTAAAATCTGAAAGTAAAACGACTGAAGAGACTATAAACAAACAAACAAAATAAACAAAAAATTAAGCAAAACAACATCAAACATAAACAAACAAAACATCCACCTAGACTTAGACATATAACACAAACACTTCAAAGCACACACACACAAACAATAAAGTAAACAAAAACAAAACAAAAAAAGGTGATATAACACAATCAAGGCAGCAAAGCGAAGATAAAATCGACCTTCTAAAGTCATCTCTCATCCTAAAATACTACTTCAAACAAATACACGACTATTATTCTCTGTAGCAAATCTTTATATTAAATAAGACAAACATTTTTGGAATTTCTTTCTGCACTGTAATCAAATATCCGTCATTTAAAAAATTATACATGAATGGATTTCTGTATTTTTTAATTCATTTATTTATGTTTTAAATTGCATTATGGGAACTTGCCTTTTCCCATCGAATGAAGTTTGACACAGAAAAGTGACGTTTAGTGACATTTTTAATAGTGTAAAGTGATTTGTTGCCTGTGTTTGTGTTGCAAACTACTGTACAGTAACGGAACAAAAACTGCTAGAACTAGTTTCCCCAGAGGTGGGTTGCAGCTGGAAGGGCATCCACAGCACAAAACATATGCTGCATAATTAGGCGGTTAATTTAGTTGTAGCGTGTCTTTATTAAGAAGGGACTAAACATATATATATATATATATATATATATATATATATATATACATATACATATATTAACAGGTTATCTTTACAGTGTGTGTCCAGAAATAAGATGTTGGGATGTCAAAGAGCATTTAAAACAGCCAGTAACAATCACAAGCTTCGCTAGAAATGTATATTTGATTTTTGATATTATTAAGTTCTAAGGGTTCTAAGTACTGTATGTATGGGATTTTAAATTGAGTTCGTTTTTTTAATTTGATATGTGAAGGTATTTGTGTTGTATGTTTTTTCTGTGATATGTGTAATGTGAATGTTAATGTGGCTATGTGGAAAAGCCAAAGAAAGTAAAGTAAAAATTTGTAAAAATAAAAAAATTTAAAATAAATAAAAATAAATAAATAAAAAATATATATTTTTGGAAAATGTGTACCCTTATTTTCTGAACCGTTTTAGGGGGCTCAAACCTGGCTTTTATACACACAAAAATCCACAAAACTAAAAATAGCAAAAGCAACTAAAACAAACAAAACAAACAAACAAATAAAAACTAAAACAAAGTTTGTTTAACAACAACAAAAACTACAACAAAAAACAAACAATATGTCTATTTACGGTAACACAATATTATCTTGTAACAAAACAACAAAGCAAAACATGAAAGCAAAACAACTTTAAAGTACAAAATAAAAAATACAAGAACAAAAAAATAAACAAGAAGTTGTTATCTTATAAAAACCAAAACACACACCCACACACACACACACACACACACACACACACACACACACACACACATAACATGATCATCAAAAACAGCAGCAAAACATTCTGTGATACATTTTTTGTCACTTACACATACATCAGTCGCCTATTTTATTTAATTTTTTTCTAAATAAATCTAAAAGTACCAATCTTCATATTAGAGATCTGTTTAATTTGAAAATAAAGCAAAGGAAATCCCTCGGTCCTCAGAGCCTCATTGTTTCCCAGCAGTGTGCCGTTGTTCGTGTAGTTCTGACTCTCTGATGGATTCTTCTGCTGTTGGTGATATAATGAAGCGGCTGGCTGAAGTCTTGATTAAGGTTTATGAAGGCTCTCTCCGGTGTACAGGGGTTTAAGTGAGTGTAATTGGACTGTGCTCTGGGCACAATTGATCTGTCATACAGCAAAGTGAGTACTTTATAAAAGCTGGGTTCAATCGAAAAGACTGTCATCCTCAAAATAGGCAAAAAGCTATATTAATAGTCTACACGCCTTATATAATATTATTATAGTATGTTATATTTGCATTTTTAAAGTGAGCTTCATCTAGAGAGAAAGAAACAGGAGGTTTTTTGTGAAATGAAAAGGTGATTTTTAAAAGAATGTCCTGCCTGCTCTTTTCATCTTATTTAAATGTCAAGTTTCAGATTGACCAAAAAGCTAAATTAATGATTCTGTTGTGACTAAATTTAAGTAATTATGCAAATGAATTCTTACACTCTGCTGCATCACGCAAGATATTACCAAAAACACAACAAAACAAAACTAACAAAAAACAAAACAAAACAAAACACAAAAAACTAAACTAAACTAAACAAAGCAAAGTAAAGCAAAACAAAAAACACAAAACAAAAGAAAAAACACAAAAAAACACAAAACAAACAAAATACAAATCACAAAACAAAACACAAAACAAAAAACAAACAAAACATAAAACAAAACACAAAACAAAAAAAAACATAAAACAAAACACAAAACAAACAAAATACAAATCACTAAACAAAACACAAAACAAAACAAAAAACAACAGAACACAAAACAAAACACAAAACAAAAAAACACAAAACATTAAAAAACACAAAACAAACAAAATACAAATCACAAAACAAAATACAAAACAAAAATACACAAAACAAATCACAAAACAAACAAAATACAAATCACAAAACAAAATACAAAACAAAAAAACACAAAACAAAACAAAAATCAACAGAACACAAAACAAAACACAAAACAAAACAAAAAACAAACAAAAAACAAAACATAAATCAAAACACAAAACAAAAAAATAAACAACAGAACACAAAACAAAACACAAAACAAACAAAACACAAAACATAAAACAAAACACAAAACAAAACAAAAGAATAAAAACAAAACAAAACAAAAAATCAAAACAAAAAACTAAATCAAAACAAAATAAAAAAATCAAAACAAAAGAATAAAAACAAAACAAAACAAAAAATCAAAACAAAAGAATAATAAAAATAAAAACATAAAAATAAAACAAAGGAATAAAAACAAAACAAAATAAAACAAAAGAATAAAAACAAAACAGAAGAATTAAAACAAAACAAAAAATCTAAACAAAACAAAAGAATAAAAACAAAACAAAACAAAAAAAATCAAAACAAAACAAAAGAATTAAAACAGAACAAAACGAAAAAATGTAAACAAAACAAAATAATAAAAACAAACAAAAAATCAAAACAAAACAAAACAATAAAAAAATTAATCTAAACAAAACAAAAGAATTAAAAAAAAAATCTAAACAAAACTAAACAATAAAAACAAAACAAAACAAAAGAATAAAAACAAAACAAAAAATCAAAACAAAACAAAAAAGAATAAAAACAAAACAAAACAAAAAATCTAAACAAAACAAAAAAGAATAAAAACAAAACAAAACAAAAAAAGAATAAAAACAAAACAAAAGAAAAGAATAAAAACAAAACAAAACAAAAAAATCTAAACAAAACAAAACAAAAGAATAAAAACAAAACAAAAAATCTAAACAAAACAAAAGAATAAAAACATGACAAAAAAACCCTAAACAAAACAAAAGAATAAAAACCAAAAAAAAATGTAAACAAAACAAAACAAAAGAATTAAAACAAAACAAAACAAAAAAAATCAAAACAAAACAAAACAAAAGAATCAAGTCACATATAACGCACATTATTACCGGTAGGAATGACGCCTCCACCTACTCATAATTCTCTCTTCATATAGCCGTATATATGTCTATGACATATCCATAATACACTGTGATATAATCGGGCTCGGATTGCTTTCTCACTACAATCAATCCACTCCAGAGTTTGTTTTAATCGAGCCGAGACCACCTCATTCAGGCGAATTTGGACCGATTGCTTTGATAAGATCGCGATTGCGGGACTCACATATGCCAAACAAACCGCACTAACTGAGGAATTGCGCCAGGTTCTGAAACAAAAGTTTAGGTGAAAAGCACCTTTAGTATTGATATTACCCAAAACAATTCCCAACCCTATTCGATAACTATTAAGATGACTCAAAGTTCCGGGACGAGCCTGTGTTATTAGTTTCAGCAATTGTTATCAAAAATATACCTTGGCAACAGACCAATCAGAATCAAGTACTTCAGACAGCCGTGTAATAAAATCGCTTAATGCACAGGTAGCTCCATGCAGCATTAGTAGTAACCATATTAACAATCAGTACCCAACCCTCCTTCAGACAGCTGACATACAGAGCTTCAGGTCTTTCTTTAAAGAAAGTTGACCCAACAATTGGAAGAAATGAAGTGTGGAAAAAAACGTTGCCATGACAACCTTAACCTGTGCCACTGAGAGACCCAGCAGAGATCTCTAAAAATTATAACAAAGGTGCAGATTTCAGGGGAGTCATTAAGATTTCTTTTTTTGCATTTCAGGTGGAGCGTTTTATTGAAATTGGTCATGTTGAACAAAATTATTTAAAAGCTGAGATGCGGGTGCAGCTGCAGATACAGACGCAGTTCAGATATAGATTTCCACACTGTGCATCTATTGAGTTCAGTCAGTATAAAACATGAGGATGTGTAGTATACACTTTTCTTAAGCAAGCATGTCAGGTCCCTTTTAAAAACAGAAATAAATAAAAAACTAAATATTATTAATGGTAATAATAATAATAATAATGATAANTATAATAATAATAATAATAATAA